TGAAGAAGGGCCTAGGCCCGAAACATCAGTCTTCCTGCTCCTCTGATGCTGCTTGGCCTGCTGTGTTCATCCAGCTCTGCACCTTGTTATCTCAAATTCTCCAGCATCTGCAGTTCCTGCTATCTCTGAAACCATTGAGATAATAATCTGTCTTCCTGTTTTTGCCACCAAAGTGGATAACCTCACATTTATCCACATTAATTGCATTTGCCAAGTATGTGCCCACTCAGTCAGTTTGTCTAAGTCACCCTGCAGCCTCTTAGCATCCTCCTCACAGTGCACACTGTCACCCAGCCTAGAAGCATTTGCAAATTTAGATATATTGCATTCAATTCCATCATTCAAATCATAATTAGCTGGGTCCCTATAATAACAGTCCAGTGATAATACGACTAAACCATCACCTCCCCTTGATTCAGACCACGGTGCACCCCCTCCTCATGAAACCTCTTTCCCCAGTCATCACTTACTTTGCTCCTGGGGTCCCAGGGTTGCTTTTCCAGCAGCAGGCTTGGCCTCCCCTGCAATGGGGCCAAATGCAGGGACTGGAATCTGATTAGCCAGTAGTTTACTGTGTTGAGACTGCTATTCAGTGATGCCTCTTCTTTAATTAGTGTTCCAAAAAATTACATAATAACATTCTGCCCCTGGGGAGCCTAATTCCAGAGGAAGGCCCTCTGGTGTCCTGGAAACTGCATGATTGGCTTATATTCTGGTGGGCATTCCTTAGAAGAGGGTGAGTGAGTCTTTTACTGCTAACAGAAGATTCTGCCTAGTGACATAAAAACCTTTACCACAAATTGTGGAATGTGTGAACGAGCAGGAGCTTTTAAAGGATATGGTAACCTTATTTATTCCTCACAGAAACTAAATATTGATGGATTTGTTAAAAAAAAAGCTACAAATTGTCTTTAAACAACAAGGAGATTACAAGAGAAATCAATGGTGAGATAAAGTATTTATCTGGTGCAAACATGAATATTGAATTCATACTTTCTACTCCATTAGCAGCTTTTGAAGATGATGATTCAGGTATACCCTTATCTTTTGAGACGACTATTCAGTGGTCTTTAACCAGTGATTCAAAACTTCAATGATGCCCTTTTCCCACCCTCACTCAGTATACCTTGTTAAATGGTTTGTAATCTGTGTAACAAATATTGGTTATGGCCATTGTCACTTAGTTCCTGTTGTGCTGCTCCTCTTCTTACACTGTATCTTGGAAACAAACTAGAAGTTGTGTATTAGATTGCTGGAATTCATTTTCGTTGCAAAATGGTGGAACGTACAATTTTCTGCAGTGAACTTTCCCATTAGAAGAGTAAGATGAATTCAATGACAACGCAAAACACAGGAATTACGATTAAATCAAACCTCAAAGAATAACAAAGCATTGATACATATTCTCCAGCAATTGCTACTTTGTCATTTCATGCACACATTCAGCTTTATTTCTTTTAGTACCCCTGGGGCTATCACTAATGCAATATCAGAAAGCCTAAGCAACGTTACAAGTGAAGAAGTTTTCCAACATACAGGAAAGAAATTGAAGGAAAAGTACTTTCAGTTCTTTTTATTACGTTGAAGCTTCAAAACTGTTTTACACAGGTAAACACAGAATTTAAGTGAGCTGTTCTTTAATGATACAAATCTAAACATTTCAGTGTAAAATACTTCTTTGTGCAATCACCTGACTGCCCCTGTCAGATGTGTATTTACAGATGTGACTTTACAGTTTTATGAATGACACAAATGGAATGGAACAAATTAGTAAAAAATGGTAATCACAGAACCTTTATCTGAAATATGAGGCAAAAAATGGGGCTTCCTTCAATCCTTCATACACAATTACTTAAAATGCGTTTCCAATATAGAACTAAAATCCCATAGATCAGTGCAATTCAACACAAATGTTACATATAAAGAACAGCTTCTGTATACACAGTGGGGAAAAGTCCAAGATCATTGCCTACTATAAGTCTACTAGAAGATTTCCTTCAAATATGAAAACTGGAATCAGATACATTACTGAACCAAGTGTCCCATGTTAGCCTGATGCACATTTTTAAAAATTACATCAAATTTCAATTAGAAAAAGCAGAACATTCTTTCAAATTTATTGTTTGGCTAAACTTTTATGTGACAAACTCAGCCACGCAAACCCAGCCAATAACCAAATAAAAACATGAATTCATCTTATTCTTCTACCCTGTGTCCCTCACCATTACATATCAATCATTTCAATTAAGTGTTTATTAAAGTTATTTACATACTGACCACTAACAGAACTGCACAATCTGCTTTCCAAGCTGTGTTTTCTTTTCTTCTGTAATATATAGTTGTCCCAGTAAACTAACATCAAAATGGATATACTATGATTAAAAAATGTAATTATGTGCGGTTTTCCCCTTAGATGTCTACAATAAATAACATTTTTATAAATGCTCTCCTATACTGTGATGCAACAACACAGCTGTGAAGTATTTTCTGCATCCCCTACTAAAACTGAAATGTAAACGCAGAATCCAGGAATATCATAAATTGCAACACTTGTATATTTTTGTCAAATAATTAGCATACTATTGATTTCTAATTATTGCTCCAGCACCATTGTAACATGCAAGCAACCATGAATCAAACTGCCCACAGTGGTATTATTATGTCCACGGTAAAATAAAAATAACTGGAGACTTCAGAGATAGTTACAAATATATCCACATTTACACATTTCTTTCCTCCCTCTTCACATTTACCAAAGCTGCAGTACCACATATATCAAAAACATTCATTCCTCTGTTAACTAATTTGCATTAATACTTTGACAATCTTAAAAAAGACTGATAGTTATTCATACACAATTAATTGCCATCAACATGTTCCGAAAATGAAAAAAAAAATTCTGTGGTCATTGAGCATTTTAAATTTTATTTCCATGATCGTATTCAAAAATATGACTAATGATGTGAAAATGTAATGTATCAAAATGACAGCACGGAAGACAAGTCTAACCCCCATTGACTGGTACAGGACCCATCTCTGACTTTGTATGTGGAGATGACAGGGCCCATATTTTAATATTCTTATGCTGTTGCCCCGTCAAATCTCAGGCTATTGAGTGGCTTTATAAATAAAGCCACATCAAAAGGAAAAAAAGATTAAAGATAAACAAGTGCAGTTTTTGTACAATTTATACACAAGTGCCTTGATGCGTTGGAGGGAGTTGTTTTCTGTTCCTAACTGCTGAGGTCTTCTCTTTGCACTCATTTGGTTTTTGTTGAGAAATATCTATAAGTGCACTGGCTATGGCAAGACCTGCAGAAACAAAAATGAAATATGATTTACTTGGAGCTCCATTAGCCTTTATGACATGCTGGTTGTTTCTCTGCACAACACCACGGTGAAAAGACTACCCACTCCAACTTCAAAAAAGTGTATTTGGCACGGCAATGCTGTTTGATTTCCATTAAATCAGGTCACTACAGAAGATCATTTTTCAAAATGTCATATAAATCATCTTATGAAATTCATTTATTGTGTTCTTTAGTCCAGTACTGTTCCTAGTTGTCAAAGCAATACAATTAAGTGAAGAACAATTCATTACTCAAAACCTGAGGTCTAAAGGAATTTCATTGAATATGTCACGATGATTCACAGAAGCACTAGTCAAATAAAATTTACATGAAGAGTAAGTTGAAACCTTCTGTATAAATACAGTGCCTCAAATGTTCATTACAAATGTCCACTTTCTTTCACGGTTTGAATTTCATATGGATCTGAAAGCATCTCATTTTGTAAACTCACTTAGAATGCTGTGAATTATTTAAGTACACCTATATTTTAAATACCGAAGTGAATGGTTGGCTGAGATTGGTTATGTGAGGAAATGTCATGTGGGTAAGAAAATATTTCACTAAAATTAGTAGCATGAATACCTTTCTGCATGCAATACTGCTTAACATGTTACTGAAAATTTATTTTTTAAAGAAAAAGCAAATTAGATAATCAAACAGACATCATGGATGAAAGCAAACAATATTTCCATTCATAGACAGCAAGAACTGCAGATGCTGGAGGAGGAGTCAACACAGTGTGGAGCTGGAGGAGTACAGCAGGCCAAGCAGCATCACAGGAGCAGGAAAGTTGACGTTTTGGGTCAGGACCTTTCTTCAGAAATGGGGAGGGAGAGGGAGCTCTGAAATAAAGACAGAAAGAAGGGGTGGGCCCCGGGAAGGCAGGTGAGATGGTGATAGGTGAGTGCAGGTAGGTAGGAGTGGGGATTGGTCAGTGAGATGGGTGGGAGAGAAGATGGACAGGTTGTGTCAGGTTGAGCAAATGGGGATGAGAGGGAGGTTTGGACTTGGGATGAGGCCAGGGGTGGGGAGATTTTAAAACTGGTGAATTCCATGTTTAGGCCATTGGGCTTTTGGCTCCCAAGGCAGAATATGAGGTGTTGCTCCTCCAGTTGGTGGGTGGTCATTGTGACACTGGAGGCGGCCCAGGACAGACATGTCACCCAGGGAGTGGGAGAGGGAGTTAAAATGGTTGGCAACCAGAAGGTGTTGTCGTCTGTCGCATACAGAGCGCAAATGCTCTATGAAACGCGAGCCTACACTTGGTCTCACCGATGTAAAGGCGGCCACATCAGGAGCAGCAGATACAGTAGACCAAATTGACGGATGTGCAGATGAAAGGATGAAAGTAATATGAAAGGATACAAAAGAATTCACCAGTTTTAAAATCTCCCCAACCCCAGCCTCATCCATGTCCAACCCTCCCTCTCATCCACGCTCTTTGACCTGACACAACCTGTCCATCATCTCTCCCAACTATCCACCCCACCCATCCCACTGACCAATCCACACAAGATTTTCATTGCAGTTTTTCTCCTCTCTTGTAGGGTGAATGCTGGCTTTCATGTATAAACACAAAGTGGTAATGTGCTGAACTTATACATCATTCAGATATGCCAATCAGTCCCACAGGGCCCTTGTCAAATTATATGAAGTAGCTCTGATTAACTTAGTTTTTCCCCTAATACTAATATGCAAATCAATGCGTTCAATACAAATGCTTTTTCATATTCAATAGGTTCATAAAACTTTCAGCAAAACAGTCACAAAATACATGCAAAGCTATTTGCTTTAAATTACAATTAGACACACGAAACATAGAAGCTAAAAGCAGGAATAGGTTATTCAGTCTTCCAGCCTTCTCTGCCATTCAAGATGATCAGTATCTCAATACCACATTCTTGCTTTCTCCCCACATCCCTTGATGCCTTAATATCTAAAAATGTATCTATCTTTTTCTTGAATATATTCAGTCACATGGTCTCCACAGCCTTCCACACAGAACTTAGCAAGTTAACTTCCCTTTGAGTGAAAACACTTTTCCTAACACTCTGTCCAAACTTGGTTGCCCTATTTCCTGAGATTATAACCCCTTGTTTTAGACTCTTGAACGAAAGAAAACATCCTCCCTGCATCAAGTCTGTCCAGACATTTATACATTTCAATCAGATCCTCTCTCTTCTAAACACAGTGAATATAGGCCCAGTCAAACCAATCTCTCCTCATAGGCCAGTCCTGCCATTTTCATATCTGCCTGGTTAACTTCCACTGCACTCCCTCTATGACAAATATATCTCTTTTTTAGGTAGGGAGACACAACTGCAGTAATACTCCAGGTGGTCTCTCAAAGGCCCTGCATAACTGCAGTAAGACATCCCTACCTCTGAATTCAAATCCTTTTGCTATGAAGGCCAAAATATAATTTGCCTTCCTTATTGCTTGTGCCACCTGCCTGTCTATTTTCACTGACTGGTGTACAAACAGACTAGATCCTTTTATAAATCCATATTTTCCAATATATGACCACTTAAGTAATACTCTTCCTCTCTGTTGTTTTACACTGCAGTGTACAAATTCACATTTAGCCATTTAGCCACTAAACTTGTCTGAATCATTTTGAAATGTTGCTTCTGGTTCCCTTCTCTGGTTCATTTATATATATCATGAATAGCTGAGGCCTAAGCACTGATCTTTGTGATGGCCCACTAGTCATTGCCTGCCATCCTGTTTTTTAATAAATTTTCAATCCATTCCAGTATATTACCCCCAATCTGGTGTGCTTTAATTTTGCCCACTAGCGTCTTATGTAGGACTTTATTGAAAGCCTCCTGAAAATCCAAATACACCATATCCACTGGTTCTTCTTTGTCTATTCTACTAGTTACATCCTGAAAGAACTCCAGTAGCTTTATTAAGCATGATTTGTCTTTCATAAATCCATGGTGGCTTTGTCTAATCCTCACTAATGCTTTTGAAATGTTCTGTTATGTCTTTACAACAGACACTGGCATTTTCTCTACTACAGATGTTTTCTCCCTCCTTTTTTAAATAGTAGGGTTACATTTGACACCCTCCAATCTATAGGAGCTGCTCAAGCGTCAATAGAACTTTGGAAGATGACCATCCAATACAGCCATTATTTCCAGGGCTACTTTCTTTAGTGCTCTAGGATATAGATCAGCAGGAAATAATGATTGGTGATTTGTTAGCCTTTAGCCCTTTTAACTTTCCTAGCACTATTATCTTACTAACACTGATTTCCTTGAATTCCTCCCTCTCATCATATCCTTGGTTCCCTAACATTTTTGAGGGTTATTTGTGTTCTCTTTTGTGAAGGCAGAACCAAATTGTTCTGCCATTTCTTTGTTCCCCATTATAATTTCCCAGCTTCTGACCATTTGTCTTTATTAACCTTCTTCTCTTCACACATTTATAGAAGGCTTTACAGTTAGGGTTTATGCTCTGTCCAGTTTTACTCTCACACTCTATTTTCCCCTCTTGATTAAACTTTTTGTCCTCTTTTCCTGAATTCTAAAATGTTCCCAATCCTTAGTCTTGCTGTTTCTTCTGGCAATTTTATGTCTTGTTGGATCTAATACGATCCCTAATTTCTTTTGTAAACCATAGTTGAGGCACATTTTCTATTTCATTTTTGTGCCAGGCAGGAATTACTCATTGTTATAATTCATGTACACTTTCTTTAAATATTAACCATTGCCTATCCACCATCAATCCTTTCAGTAAAGTACCCTGGTGGTTTATTTTATTTTAATTCAGGACCCTAGTTTTGGATTCAACTATTTCACTTTCCATCATAATGGAAAAATTCCATCATATTATTGGCACTCTTCCCAAGGGACCCCACACAATAGAACTGTTCACTAATCCTTTCTCAATGCACATTATTCAATTTAGAAGAGTCTGCTCTCTGGTTGGTTCATCAAAATATTAGTCTAAAAAAACATCACATACACATTCTAGAAAATCCTACTCCACAACATCGTTGTTAGTGTGGTTTGTCCAATCTATATGTAAATTTAAGTCACCCAAGAATGCAGCTATACTATTATTGCATGTATCTCTGATTTCTTGTTTAATTTCTTCCCTTAAATCTCCACCACCATTTGGGGGCCAACAGACAATCTCCAACTATGTTTTACGTCCTTTAGTGTTCCATCTCTCCACCCATACAGATCCCATTTCAAGGTTTTCTGAGCCAATATCCTTCCTCTCTACTGCACTGATGTCTCTGTTACTAACAACGCTACTTCATCTCCTTTCCATATTTGTTGTCCTTCCTAAATAAAGAATATTCTTGGATGTTCTCTTCCCATCCTTAGCCACTCTGCAGCCATGTCTCCATAATTGCAACTATACTGTAACTGTTATATCTACTTGCGCTGCTAATACATTTACCGCATTGCAAGTGTTCATACATTAAGACACTAAATCTTTGACAAAAAACTTGTCTTTTTAACCTCATTAGTTATCCTATCTTTACTGTGCACTATAGTCCATTTTTCTCCCCATCCTTGTTTTTTCTGACTCCCACTTTTGCCCCTTTCTATGATTTCCTGATCAGGTTCCTATCCTCCTTTCATTCTAGATTAAACCCTCTCTGACAGCACAAGCAACTCTCCACACACCACACCACCACCCATTCCCCACCCCCGGAGGACAGTGGCCCCAGTCCAGCCCAGAAACAACCCAAGCTCCTTGTTCCAGCCCCACCTTCCCCAGATTTGGTCCAAATATCCCAGGAATCTGAATCCCTCCTTCCTACAATGTTTCTCCACCCACGTATTCATCTGGTATATCCTGTTATTTCTACTCTCATGAGCACGTGGAATTGATAGTAATCTTAATCGGTAGTCTACATAACACAATTGGATTACCCTTCAGCCTTTATTTCTCCAGAGAACTTCAGGATTTTCTCATTGTTTGAAGCTAATCTAGTTTTAA